AAAACCCTACAAACACGCCCATGATACAAGGCGAAGTGGCTTTACTAACCAATCCTTCGAGAAACAAATCTAAGAAAAGCCTTATATATAACCTTTAAGCCCCTTCAGAACTCCTTACTAATTTGTTTCCTTAAAATTGGGTATAGTGGACTAGCTTTTGCAGTTGCATCGAAAACATAAGAGGCAAATACCTACCTATTAGCTAGTTGACATTGACCACTTCAAATCTATAAGGCCGTCTTTCAAAAAAGTTTTGAGTTACTTTCAAAAGACTCGGGAATTGAAAGTTTGAGAGAAAAATAAGTATTTGAAGTTGGTTGGTGTCTTTTATCTTGAGTGGTTCTAAGGTGTATACTTGCATAGGCGTGTTTGTAGGGTTTTTGGGCGTGCGCAGAGTGTACCCCAAGTCAAGTAGAATGAAGATGGAAAAATGAGTTCATACGAGTTGAACCTGACCTACCAGTGAGGGATGACTTCATGCAGTCTTTGTTCGGACCACAACCTTTGTGTTCAACGGTTGCCCCAGCGATGCCCCTGATGCGAGACTATGGGATGGCTGTTCATGGAAGTCGCGGTGGGAGCGCGTTTGGCCTCAACACCAAAACCTTGATCACCATCCAGCCCTGAACAGCAACGTTGATCACAAACAATGCTAGAAAACCTCCTACAGGGCCACAAACCTTGACAAATTGGCGAGCGAGGCCCTACAGACGCATCAACGGTCGCTGGCCTCCCCAGCAGTATAATAATTCCTTCTCTGCTCCAAAGCTGGACCTCAAAACTTACTCCTGCAAGCAACGATCTTTTTCTGAAGGCCGAAAGTATTACCCAGCATTGCTAGCTCTCACGTACCGCAACCCGTCCATCAACCTCAACCAACTCGATCACCTTCGCGATCTATCGCCTACCTTGACATCATCGACACCTTGCTCGCTGGATCGACCTTTTACTCTGCCACTTGCACTGCAACCAGTCTTGCAATTTGCACTCGATATCTGTCGAAATTCCCCGCGACCTCTTCGAACGATTCATCAAGATCGTTTGTTCATCCAACCTCTCTTCACAATCCTCAAGTAAGTCCAACTTCGGCTTCTTTTATATATCTTCCTCTACTATTTCCGTCCACATGAGTCACCTTCTAACATCGCCTTCTACACTAGGCCTTTTTGATATTTTACAATGCCTGTATCATTCCAGAACGCGCAGGGGATCCGGGAATACCTGGAGGACGCTTCCAGGCACCGCGATCCTCACCTTCCCGCCTTGTGGAACGTCATCAGTAAGTCTCACCTCCTTCCAGCCTTTTCCCATATGAAAACTGCCGCTAATAGAAATCGCCTCTCAGTGACAATCCAGGTAAACCTGATCGACCCTGCAACCAAAGCCATCCGCTCCTTCGCCGAGTTTACCCATCGTCGTGCTTACGACCCCATGTACGGGCGCTTCGCTGAAAGTGTCTACGAATGGCTCATCTTCCTTCATCGGGCCGACCTGACCGCTGAAGGACTCGCCAAAATCGGGCACACCAAGCCTGGTTTGGTTGAGAAGCTGAAAAAGACGCTTGCTTCCCATGAGATTGGCCATCCACGCAAGGCCAGGGCTCGCGAGAACCACCCAGCCGGCCAAGCATACAAGCGCATCTACATGACGGAAGCCGACTTCATGGTCGGCGAGGGTGCAATGGAGTATCTTGGCCGTCCCAACGCGCAGATCCTGGAGTCCCAGATCCGTGATATACCTACGAGCGAAACCGAAAGCTTCGATACGTCGACGAGATGGTGACGGCCTTGAAGAACATGGCTGGCAAGCTACCGGGCTTCGAGAACCAAGTCAACCATGTGAAAAAGACATCGGCGTCCATCTTCGAGACATTGGCTTGGCGTCTATTCGTAAGTCCCCATCCTTCCTACAGTGCATACATGAGAAATCCGCTAACCATTTGTTATATAGGTCGCTTCCCGTCAAGCCCAGCTGGGAATGCTCAAGGTCTCGCCTTGGGCTACCGCTTACTACTGGCGCAAGTACTACACCTGGAAAGCTCGCTGGAGGGATTTAATCCGCTTCATGAGCACCAACAAAGCGGCCGTCGCCAACTTGTTCCTCAGCTCCTTCATTACCCGCTTTGCCGCCGACCCCTACAAGGAGGAGTCGCAGAAGAACCAGAATCTCAAGACGAACACCGACAAGAAAGCGAAGAAGCGCGCGGGTGACGAAGCTATCGCCAGGCTCGCTGGAAATTCGTCGCCCGCCGTTGCAGAGAACAACGCCGAACAGAACCCTGATATGGCCGTCAATGACTTCGTGGCTGCTGCCGGTGCCGCTGGTGCAGAGGGTCAAGATGAGGAGGGCCAAGATGCCCAGGCTCAAGTTGCCCAACCTCAAGCTCCTCCACAGCCTCGAGGACCCGACTTTGAACGTCCTCAGGATCTTCAGATTACCCAGGATGGTTGGATTAACTACCAGGAGAACGACTTCACGGTAATGTACGACATTCATCGGCAACAACTTGAGAACTACAACGCTGAGAATGATGCGGAGGCAGATGATGACAACAACGGAGCCATGCAGAACGACAATGCCCAGGATGATGACGGCAAAACCGGAGTTCCTGGCCACAACGGATTCAACGACAACAATGACAACCCGGGAAGAAGCGCTCGCAACGAAGGAAACGGCGAGAGCGATATGGCTCGTCAGCGCAGGATCCAACGACATGAGGCTATGTCTGCCGCTGCTCCTGTGGCTCCTCGCAACCAGAACACCTTGAACCGTGGTGGCCCCAACATGACTGGTCTTTCGCAGCATCAGCATCAAGCCAACAGAGCGCATCAACCAGCCTTTCCTCAGCACGGTCTTGTCCAGTGGCCTGGAGAGGCCCCGGTTGACCCTTTAAACAACAATCCTGGTTTTGGCGGTCCTGTTCAGCAGAACCAATCTCGCGGCAATAATCGACAAGTCGAATCTCATGGTTCCGGCTTTACACCTGCTCGCCAAAACGGTCCTCGGCAACAATTTCAGCTTCCTGTTCGGCCCGCCACTCCCCAGCCCGGTTCCAACCATAGAGGTATGCTAGGCCCGCTTCAAGAAGCTCCTCGCCATCAGCAAGCACCTCCGCGTGGGCCTACGATGCAACCACCTACTGAAGTATTCCGGGTCATCCACGGTCCGCTAGGGCTACGCGGCCAATTCCACTCGCCTGGCTTCAACCAACATCCTGGACCTCGGCATCAACATGAAACTCCCTCCGGGCAACGACCTCTTCCCATGGGCTTCGTGACACCTGCTCGACCTCACCAGGCCCAGCCGCCCCATTTCTCAAACCCTGCACAAGGTGTTCCTGCTGGCTATGGCACTGCTGTTAAACCTGGTCAACATTACACCGGTTCAGGTCATGGCCACGCTACCCCAATTCAGCACCGACCTCACCCTGCTCGGATGCATCCTGCTACCCCTCGTGGCCAAATCCAGCGCACTCATCTTACTGGACCTGTTTCTTTCCGCAGACCTGCCATGCCACTCGCTTCTGAGAGAGCCCGGCTCCCCAGAGAGAACCAACAAGCTGCCAGTGCGCCTCGTCCTGTCCATTCATCCCAAGTCATGGGCTTCCCTCCCCCAGTCGCTAGAAATGCGCAACCTCAACAACTTTTTACCCCTCAGCCCGCTCAACAGCAGCCCGCCAATGCCCAGTCTGCCTCCTCCGCTGGTCCTGGTCCCTAGAATGGACGGGCCAACGAGAGACAGATGACCCTTGACGCAGTGCCGGCAAGATTCAATATCCCACCTCAGCAGACCGCCCAGCCACTTCTGATCCAGCAACAAGTTCACGTGCAAGCGGTTCAGCAGCCAGCTCGTGCTGTCACCGAAGAAGATCCATTCCAGGATCTTGCTGGTATGGAAATCGAGGGACTGCCGGAAATCACGCCCGAGGAGATGAACCAGTGGGCTCAGGACCTTCAATACCTCGAAGACCACGGAGAGTGGCCTGCTCAA